TCTCAGAGATCTGTCTCTTATACACATCTAGATGTGTATAAGAGACAGGCATTGATCAAATCTTTAGGTTTAATTGTGCTGTTTTGATAAAAAAAAAAAAAGTTGTATTTTACCATCACTGATTAAAGGCAAGTTGAATAAATAAGGTATGAAAGTTGACACAAATTATGTTTACACCTTTGGTGTGAAATAAATCCTTATAAGTACTGTACGAGAACTTGTGGTTAAGTGGTTGCTGAAAAGGAAATTGTAGTGATGGTTTTAATTCTTAAATACATCCAACAGGAAGTTCAAGAATAGATTCTAATAATTTTTTTCTTCTAATTCATTAAAGTTAACCTTGAATGAGTCCGATATGTGGTCAGGTGGGATGGCATCTGCTCCTAAGCTATGGAATTGATGGGGCCACGGATTTTTTTATGGCACAGTTCCAATAGTATGGAAATGTTAAACTTTAAAGTGCATATGCTTATTTATATATGGACAAACAACCTGATGGTTTTAGAATTGGCATAAAATCTGTAAGGTCAAATCATTTCTTATAAATGTTTCTCTTCCAAATCATCTAAAAGGGCTAGATCTTCTTTTTTCCCTTTCAGATACCTCAAACAAAACACATGCATCTCAGTTTTTGTCTTTAGGAGCAATTTTCTCTAAATTATAAAATACAATTATATTTTCTGATAACCGATATTATCTGTTTTGCAGGAAGGATTGATTTAATAAATTATTATTTCAACATTTGTTGGATAATGTACATTATATACATTTTTTTTTTCCAAAGCAGTAAGGAAGAATTTGAAATATTAATTAAAAGTAAAAAACTTAAAGCGAAGCCATTAATTTTAAAAAAGGGTGGGAGAAGTGTTAACACATCTGCGAGCAGTGATGCATAGCATTTAGCGTTGTGCAAATATACTCCATTAAGAGGTTATTGGATGAGGTTGTGCAGAGTACTGGAAGATGAAAAAAAAATTATTTTTTCTGTTGCTGGTAATTGCTCTCCAGACGCTATTTCATGTCTTTACAAAGCTGTTGTCCTAACAATTCTTGAATAGGGTTTACCGGCATGGGGCCCAAGAACTGCAAGTAACATAGGCCACATTGAAAAAGTACAAAGAAGGGTATCTAGGAGAGTTCAGAAAACACCTCCTTGATAATAGATAGGTTTTTTATAAATTGCAATTCACTGATTCTGTGCAATATCATTTTATTATTATTTCACTTCCATAAACCCATCGCTTTTCAATTGTATATTTTTTTTTTTTTTGAAACTTTTGTTTACATCTATTTTACTGGACCTTTTAATGTGTTGGTCTTTGAGTTGCATTTTATTGAAGTTGTAAATATCTGAATTTTAACTAAGCCCATATGTAATCTGTTGTATGTACAGGCGTTGCGGACACATTCGTGCTATGGCGCATTGTTGCTGATGCAATCCCTGGACAATAAATAAATGAAATGAAAAATATAGTATTATAGGCCAAATACATTCTGTCACGTGGGACTTATAATTCCAAGTATATTCTCCGGTATATCACTAATAAAAATAGTAATCGGCCGTAAAATCTAGAATAAGCCCAATAGGCTTAAACTCGAGAAGAAACCCATCCCGAATTGAAGCCCCCTCTTTAATTTGCAAAATTAGCCTCTACTACTGTGGTTTACACAGTAGTTTAGGTTAGGTTAGTTTTAGGCCAGTTAGGTTAGTTTTAGGCCAATTAATACACTCCATGATACACATTGATGTTATAGTGGCCTTATTTATTGTTTTTATAGTACAAATTACCAACATTTACAACATTCATTTTGAAAAGGAGCACACTCCCCCCCCCTTTGAAAAGCCCCCTCACTCTTTACTTTGCAAAAGTAGCCTCGACAAGAAGCCCATCTCAAAAAGAAGCCCATCCAAAAAAAACCAAAGAAAAACAAAAACGAAGAAGCCCAGAGCTTCAATTCGATGTTTTACGGTATTGCTCTACTTGAAGATAACGTCTGGAATTATTTTTTTTATGAATGAAATTCATTAACTTTACATGAAGTTTCTTCCATTTGACAATCTGTAAACATTTCATCCTTTGACAGCATGGGCGTCGATCGGTGGGGACAGGGGACACCCCCCTCCACACTTTTCAAAGAAGGGTGACATCATATTAATGGTCCCCCTACCACTTTTCTCATGTTTTCTATAGTTAAAACCCTACTTATTTTTCAAATTTTCAAATTCAAAGTAACATTTATTTAATTCCTTTTCAATTGATACAAGTAAGACAAGATCATATCAAATTCAAGAGAAAAGGAAAAAGGCAAACACCCAGGAAGAAGATCATCTTGTGACGGGTCAGCCTGAAATAAAAGGGAGACACGAAAAACAAACAGAAAATTAAAAGGACATGGACAAAACAGGACGAAGAAGACACGCAAACGAAGAAAGCAACAGTTCAAATTGGACCGAATATTAGTTTGTGCAAAAAAGGATAATATGGGAGTAGACTATATAATAATTAGAAATAATGTGTTTCTTGAGCTGGATAGCAATTGAATTTTTATTAATGGAATCGACAACTAAGAGAGGTAGAGAATTCCATAATTTAGGGCCAGTAAATCTAATATTATGTTGAAAATAGTTAGTCTTATGATTGGGAATGTATACATCATATCTACCTCGAGTACAGTAATTGTGTAAAGAGGAATTAGGTTTGAAGGTATCACAGAAATACTTTGGTAAAATGGAGTGAGAGGTTGCATACGTAAAAATACTTTGTTGGAGAGAATTTATATCAGGGAGTTTGAGTAAATTTAAATTTTGGAAAATAACCTAGAGGAATGAGACCGCGGTGGAGCGCCAGATATAATCCTGATAGCCTTTTTTGAATAATGTGAAGTTTATTTAAGTATGAGGGGTGGTATTAGCCCATACGATGTTGCAGTAGCTCAGATAAGGAAGAATTAGCGAGCAATACAGTAAACGTAGTACATTGAGGGGAACAAATGAGGATAATCTAAAAATGATACCAAGGCTTTTGGAGACTTTATTTTCAATTTCGTTTATCCGTTTCTTCCATGTTAGACCACAGTCAAGATAGACCCCTAGGAATTTGGTATGTTGAACATTTGGTATGGCATAATTATCGATATAGACTTTCAAGGGTGAAAGGTCATGAAATGTTGACATATGGGGGTTTCGAAACAGAATGAAGTTACATGTATTGTGATTTATTAAAAGTTTGTTGGCAGAAGAATATTTAGACAGGCAAATAAGGTTGGCATTAACAGTGTCACATAAAGTTTGAATGTTTTTGTTAGCATAAAAATAGTAGTGTCATCTGCGTACAGAAAAACAGAAAGATTAAAGATTAGAGGACGAATGTATATCATTAATATATAAAATAAAAAGTAATGGACCTAACAAAGACCCCTGAG